TATTATTTTGTCACAATGCACCAATTTCAAAGGGAATTAAAATAATATCACATGGTGATTTTTTTTTTAATTCCAGTGAATCTTAAATGTACTTTCAGTGAGAATTGGCCCAGGAATTTCTTAAGACTGTGTTTTGTGTCTTTACTTGTATTGTCCCTATAGACTTTTCCTGTGTTTTCTCCCCTTGTCTCAGTCTCCACATATCATCTTTAGGGTGATAGTCATCTGCCCCTGTATGTGATTTTAAATGAATTATCAGTGGGTTTAGTGCACCTTGCTGTGTTTACGGGAGAAAGAGCATGGAGGCCCATCTTGGCTCACCTTCCTGTAGACTCGCTCAGAGGTCTGAGTCAACTGGAGTTCAGCTTCCATTGAGTGCTGGGAGCTGCTGTCTAGGGTATCCTGGGAAGCTTTGGCAGAGGGCCTCAGGGCCTGAGTACCTGGGGTTCCCACTGAATAATACTAGAATCATCCCAGAAATCAAGTGACCTTAGAGAGAGCTTGGTCTGTTGCCTGTGCCAGGGAGCAGAGAGTTGCGTCTCCCCCAAGTCCCCCAGACAGAAGGGGTATGGATTGGTTTTCCTTCTGCTGTATAACTCACAATATACTTTCTTTTGGGGGAGGAGAAAGAAAGACACTGTTTATGCAAAGGAGCACTTTGCTGTCTGGAAACCCAACTTCTTTAGTACTGCTTGTACATAATTGGGGTGTTTAGCACTGGCACAGTCCCTGTCTAACTGGCTGTCAGAAGTAGCTCCTCATCTCAGGATGTCTGGGCAGGGAAAGGGCATCCCCCACAGTTTTTAGGGTCACTATGGTCAGTGATGTAAGAAGCAACATCCTCCATTATGTTTTAAAAAAGGTAAACAGCAATAGAGAGGTTTTGAACACAAATTGGGGATTTGTGTGTGGACAACTGGACAGAGGCATTTAAAATGCTGTGGCCTGTGGCTTTCTTTAAATATTAGAGTGCATTTATTCTTGGTAGTTGTGAGGCAATTCAAAGAATAATTATGTTCCTTTTGGGATTTCAGTAAAGGCCAACAGGCGCATGATTGCATTTGACAAAATGTGACTCAAGGAAACACAGCAAGGAATAAATGTAGCTCACTTAAAACATATTTTTATATTGGAAAGTAAAACTTGGGTATATGTGTGGCCTGTTGTAGGCTGCCACGGTATCTCGACCCTGTGAAAAGGTTGCACTGAGGCATTTAGCACACAAAGTCTCCCTCATGCCCCGCCCCTGGTAGTGACAGCATGCTCCCAGCAAGAGTCAGGTGTCTATGATTATTAACCATATGCAGCACTCTTGAGCTTAGTTTCATGCCACGGTTTGGCTGAGTGAACCCCGCAATAATAAAGCCATGGAGGTGCTTAGTGAGACAGTTCACCTTCTATTGCCTGCACAAGATGTAGAACTCAGCTCCTTCTCCAGCACCATGTCTGCCTGCATGCTGCCATGTCCCGTCATGATGATGATGAACTGAACCTCTGAAATGTAAGCCATCTAATGCTTTCCTAAAGGTCATGGTGTCTCTTCATAGCAATAGAAACTCTAACTAAGGTAGAAGTGGCATGGCATACAGTGAACAAGAGAGCGTATAATGGGAAAATGTGATAACAAAACCTATTGTTTTATGTAATGAATAGACATTAATAAAATGATATTAGATAATAAAATTAAAAAAAAGATCTGGAAACCACGCGGGAAGACATGGGTCTTTTTTTTTTCCCAGAATAAAGCATTATACAATGTCTGTTTACTGAAAAGAAAAAAAAAAATTAAAGTACATGACATAACATATTCCTTTTGCCTAATCCAAAAATATAATTCTTCTCAGACTCAAAAAAAAATAAAGCCATAGAGGTACCCCCATGACAACCCCATTTCACAACATAGTCAGGGTCTAAATGTGCCAGGTGTGCCCAGGTGTTCTGACACCTGTCTGCAGACAACCAGGTGCTTCCATGGAGGCTCAATATCCTCGGGGTGAAATAGAAGCTCTAGGTGTCCAAGTGCCAATAATCTCTGCATCAATAGTGGCATGTAGGTGAACATTTCCTTGGGTTGTGTCCTTTGCTCTCGAGGTGACACAGTGTAAGTCAAAGGTTGCCCAAATTTCTATCATCGTGGATGCACAACTCAGTGATAGATTCAAGGCAGGGAGTTTCAGGGAGCAGTGTGCCCAATTGCTGCAATTGTTCAGGTATCAGTATGCACACAATAACTGTGGACCCATTAAACCCTCTGCTTTTTATGAATCACCAAGAAAAACAAGACCATTTCCGGGAGATGACTGGAGTGCCCTAAGTGGGCTGATCCCAGTGTCCAGGACTTTATCTTCACTGTGCAGTGTCCAGAATTCTCAGTCCAGGCAACAAGAGTAGTGCAGCGCCTTCATTTGCCCACATTTCCCTCCCATTACTCTAGTTCAAGTTTTTCAAGGGAGAACTGTAGTTCAGTCTTGACCTAGGACTTTATAGTGAACTAGAAGGGACTCTTCCTCTGTGTACCCCCACCCCCAACAAGCCACATGGATTCACATTGATCTCAAGTGCCATTCCATGCTGATTCTCAGTATTTGTCTCTTTAATCTATAGGATCAGAGGTGGTCTTTCCCTGTTCCCCCCCATGGTATCTCAGTTAACTCAATCATCATGAGGAATACACTCTGCACAGGTCCTTGGAAGAACTTCTCATGACTTGGAACAGGGATAGGGAGTTGTCCATCTTTCTTCCTCACACTGTCTCTGGACACTGCACTGTAATCTCTTCAGAGTTTTTCTGGGGACTTTGGCCTTACCCAGGCAGGAAGCAAGGGTGCTCATGAGTCCTTGTCTTCACTGTGACTATTATGGCCCATGTATTGTTACTTGGAAAACACCCTATTGGGTTGACTGTCCTCTGGGGCAGTCCCACAGTGAGGACTCATGGTGTTGCAGGCATGTCTTCATTGATCATTAATAATACCCCTCACATATACTGGGCTCACCTCACTGTGACTTGGGGTCAATTGTCCATTTTGACATCATCACCGTAAAAACTGAGGAGAGTGTGTGGTAGCCGTGGTGTGCTATTGGTGACAGCACGAGTAGTGATAGTCTTGACTCTTGGTGATGTATCCTTGAGCAATGATTTGACCTCAGAGGAAAGGGTGAGCTTGGTGCCTACAAACTGGAAGGTACTTTATGCAAATTCCATGGCAAGGCGAATTAAACCTAAACTGGGTGTTGGGTCTTGAATGGCTGTGTGTTTGTGTTGGGAATATACTTCCTTCTGATCAAGTTGTCTTCCTACCTTGGTCCTTGCAGTGGGCCACAGAGGAGGGAAGAGCCATGGGGAGGCAATTGAACATGTTTTTGCCCCAAAG